ATCACAGTTTTTAAGGCTAAAGTCACCTGAATGAAATTTGCTGAACCATCATTGACACTTACAAATGTTCTTTGATATTCTTTGGTTACAGAGGCGTTGTTTCCCTTCTTGTATTCAAACAGCATAACATGCCGAATGTGTGTGTCTCGTCGTGTGCCATCACTATAAGGGATTAAAATATACTGAACTTTACACATTATCTAGGCAACACTAACGTGACGTTTAGGCAGTTCGTCTAACTATTATACGTGATGTAGTGATGTACGTTGTTTTTTTTTTCGTGGGGTGTTAATGAAAGTGTTCTAAAATGCGACATTAATTTCTTGACGACCTAATACATTCTTCGTTGTATTCTACAATGAAATCTCAAACTAACTTTCATTTGGAAAAAATACAGATTCTGCTTTTCTGAATGTGATAAAAAAATTGGACCTCATAATAACTGATTTAAAAACAACAGAGACCTCATTGATCAACTGACAACCAATGCAATAGCAGTACAAAGAATAAATGACCATCTTGAAAATAAAAAGAAACCAAAACCTACCAGGATATGTGACACGTGTATTTTTAGTCATAACAAAGACTATTGTGAACTTTGTAAAGAAATATATCGCACAATGTTTTTGAAGAAGGGAGATGCTAGCATGGTAATTGGTATTCCTCAAGATATATGGGTAATTAATATGCTATGTTTCTAATTTTTATGATATTGAATGTCCCTGTAATAAATTCTAATGAAAATGTTTACGCAAACAAAGCCTTTGTCTTATCACTGATTAAAAAGTGTCATAAAATAAACGTATCGCTACTGCTAGATAAATCAGAACTAACCTGTGTCATGTAGTTGTCATTGATCTCAACATACAGCGTTTGAAAACTTCGTCTAATATATATAGCAACACTGTTTCAAATTATGTGTCAGTTTCGAAGTATTATTTTAAAAAATAATTAGACATTAATGTATAATAAAATCTCATACATTTCATATGTTTAAGTAGATATTAAAGGTACAATTGAATAGATCTTTCATTTTGAAAATTATTCTAAGCCGACTGACACAGTTTGAACATCTGACCATTTCTCGGGTACAGTATTAAGGAGAAGTATGCAATAATTGTATGCTAACTGAATTGTCCCGTCAAAGATTGAGAATACACATTTAGTGTTTTGTATCACCATATAAGTCATAGAACTGTTATTACTGACTTTTAAATTTCAGTGACATACAGAAACTTTAGTTAAAGTATGATATATGATTATGTAAAGTTTGAACCGTTTATTTTCAATATTAAGTGTAATGTAAATACATTTACAGCGACAACGTATTACAATTGACTTTTTTATGCGAAATAGACTTGTTAGTCAACGACCTTTCTCTAATTTGTTTTTCTTCTTTTTCTCTGTCTACCCTTCCCACGTGACGAGCTTTGTATTTCATAACAGATAAAGATTAGTTAGCTGGACGTCAGTGGCATGTGTGTGTGATATTTCATAATAGTGTTTAGACAATTTCAATGTTTTATGAAATTTTAATAGAAAATGTAAGGATAAACAGTAAGTCATTCATTTATTATATTTAGTGGCAGCAAAATGAGTTAGTCTCATTCAATTATTGGATGATATGTATTTTGAATAAAATGTATCGTTGACTTGTGAAAGCGAAACGGCAGATGTCCTACGAAACATTGTCTGAAAGAAACTATGTACACTTTAGAAATTTATTAGATTCTTTCACGGCATTTGTTTATGTGAAAGGAGCTTGGAGATGTGTTTGCCTGTGATCAGCTACCTGATCAGTGATCATGCAGGAAAACAATTATACATCGTCAATCTGGACCCGTGTCATAAATTTGGTAACCACTGGGTCTGTACTTACATTGGTCTAGATGAAAAAGGAAAATATTTTGATCCATTAGGACTGTCTCCACATAATATCAACATAAGAAAATCACCAAGAAAAACTATCGAATGTAAACATACCACGAAAGAAGTACTGTGAGGACCGTATTCATCTCTCTGTGTGTGTGTGGATAATATTGTATATATTATGCTTACTATCGTTGTCGACATGTGTTCAAGAAAGTTCAGTACTCAAAGATTTGTGAAAAATGGTAAGTGTTGTTATTCTATAATAGTGATTAATTACATTTATTTACTGATTTACTACAGAGTTTATTAACTAGATGTTAAAATTAAAGTTAGTGAAACATTAGTTATATTTGTATAGAAAGGTTGCAGCTCATATGTTTTGAAGTTAAATAGACTCAACATGTCACAATGAGTCAGAGTGAAATATCTCTATCGTGTTAATGAGCCACAGGTAGAAATGAAAAGAACGACTGTATCCTACATACTGTCCTACCGAAGTATGGATAACAGCAGATTTGTTAAAATCCTACTGACAGTAAGATTGTTATTAAAATAATGGTTTTAATATAATTAAATTAAGACATTGATGACGTAATTATATTTGGTAGTATAGTAACACCCTTGTAAAACTCGCGTAAGGTAAAACTATAAAGTATCATGTGTAAAATGAAATATTTTGTCAAGTTATATTGATAGCATAAAGTCAAATTAGCGAAACAGTAAATTCTAATTATTGCATGATATTTAAATAAACATCTTTTCCTAGACTATTTGCGTATAAATGGTTAGGAAATGTAAATAAATAGCGAATTAATGAATTAGTGTTTTAAACCTAGCCATGTTGAGACACGTTGATACATATCGTGTGCGTCATTATCTCTGATGTCATGGCGACTTAGCAACGCACCCTCTCGCATGACATCATCGTCTCTAGCCCTTTCCTCCCTTCAGCAACATACTGTTAATCACAGAGAAATGTTCCCTTAGTAACATATTGTTACGTCTCTGTTTGTTAATTGATTTTCCGTAACTTCGTTCCGACGAAACTTAAGCGACACAAGTTCTTTAC